AAAAAAACCATACTTTATCACACTACATTTACTAGAAGCATCTTGTTTTTATGTCGACATTTTGACATAACTGCGTGTCTTTTATTCAATGATAATGTTCTATCTGCAAGGATATAAGGTATATCTGCATGTATATCTACCTGTATATATACATGATGTCTTAAAAAACGGGGAATAAGGGTCTACAGACTCGTTTGAAATTGGATTTCAAGATTGAGCCCATTTTTTAAAATTACGTACAATTTCCGATTCAATGAGTCCAATCTTAGGCTTCCAGATATAAAAATAACAATTTTAAAGACTTCTAAAGTTTCCAACTGGAGTGAGTAAATTTGGTAAAAATAAAGATAATCCCCGTTTGCACATATGGGTCTATGCAGACTTGTTTGTAATCGGATTTTCAAAATTGAGACGAATTTTTAATATCTAGCATTTCCGAGTCAATTAGTCCAACTTTTGTCTTGCAGATCTAAAAATAACAATTGTACTGTAATATACTGTAACCTAACATTGAATATAAAATTGTGCAAACGGAGATTATTTTTTACTTTTTACTTCGCTTCAGTTAGAAACTTTAGGAGCCTATAAAACTGTTACTCTTAGATCTACCAGCCTACAATTAGACTCCTTGAATTGGAAATTGTACAGTGAATCCCAGATATATGAAAACAAAGCAAGAGTTTTTAACATGAGTATCGTTGATATTAAATTCTTGATATCGATATCCAATGTAGGCACTTTTGAATTTGGGGATACATACTTGATCCCTCAATAAAAGTTATCCCTGAAAGATATAATATCAACGATACTCACGTTAAAAACTCTTGCTATGTATTGATATATCTAGGTTTCACTGTATGTAGATTTTAAAAAATCTTGAAAATCCGATTACAAGCAAGTCTGTAGACCCTTATACAAAATTGTGCAAACAGAGCTTATCTTATTTTTACCAAATCTCTCACTCCAGTTGGAAACTTTAGGAGCCTATGAAATTGTTAGTTTTAGTTCTACAAGTCTAAATTTTTAAATCGCAAATTGTACGTAGACTTTAAAAATGGCCTCAATCGAGTCTGTAGACCCATAATCCCCGTTTTTTTTGAGATAGATAGATAGATAGATAGATAGATAGATAGACAGAGATATAGATGGATAGATGGATAGACAGATAAAACATAGACAGAGAGATAGATAGATAGATGAAAACATAGATAGATTGATTGACAGATAGATAGATAGATAGATAGATAGATAGATAGATGATTGCTAATTATCTTGTTAAGATGATAATTATAATATATCTTGTTTAAATACTGTATGATTATTATGCAATGTATAAGGAATGATTACACTACAATTCATGCATAACTATTGCATAATTAATGCAATGCAATGTTGGATGCTTTATCATTTTTGCAATATTACTGAATATTTTGCATTATGCAGATAGCTCCGACAATGAATGGGTTAAACATGAAAAAAACTTTGTTAAATATATATTTTAATAACACTTTATACCCGATTCCACATTTTACTAAATAAAAATGTTTTTAACTAAAGCAATTTTGAAATATATTTTTGAGAAAAATTTCAGGCTTCGGATTTTTGCATAAATGGTGGGAGCAAGCAAGTTATTAATCTTTAAAGAGAGAGAAGAGAAAATATCTTAGACTTTCGTTTTAATTTCCATGGTGACCCTGCAGTTAAAGAAGAGAATGCCCGATTTACATTTCTAGCGAAATCCGGAAGTTACTTGTATATGAAACAAGAAATAAAACATGAACACCCCCTCCCTCCTCAACATCAGCACGCCCCCTCTAACATGAACACCCCCTCCCTCCTCCTCTTCATCATCAGCACGCCCCTGTAACCCCCCTACATCACCCACTGCACTGCACTGGCCGGAGAAACCGAAAGGAAATAAAAAAAATCATTTCCTGTTGACTCTAAATATATAAAGGATGCATAAATTGAATGGGAGGATGGATAATTACTAAACATTACAGAAAATTGTTCAACTCGAACCAAGGAGTATGAAATAGAAGGGAGATACAACTGACGCGGCCCGCTTTGCAGACGGGTACTCCATTTGCATCAGAAATATTCAGAATGGGTTATTGTAAACGCGGTAATTGTACATTAGACAAATATTTCTTATACAAATGGAGTACCGTATGCAAAGCATGTATAATCGTATGGTAGGACGGGCCGCGTCAGTTGTATCTCCCTTCTATTGCAGCCTTCTTGACTCGAACTGATTAAAACATAGATAACATAGATATAGAGGAAAGGGAGAAATAAATGGATGGAGACAACCATTTCAAACTATTTGATCTAACAAAATATAGTTTGAAATATAAGGTTGCAAAGATGTATGGATTAAAAATTTGACTCTATGTCAAGTGTTCAATATTTTGGTGAGTAGTAAGGACAGAATAATATATAAAGGTTGAATAAAAAGTATTAATAGAAAATTATTGACTTACTAAAAACATCAACTGTTTTGGACTGCCTATTTAATATGTTATTAATGAAGAACTTTAAGTTTTTTTCGATTTTCAGATGGGGCTACAAAAAATCACGAAAAATTCCTTATTGCAAAATGTTGTTCTCTACAAGACTGCTTAAATTACATTATGCGAAATATTTACTCGATCTGGAAAAAGATATCTAGGCAATAGGCTTTAACGGAGAAAATTCAATACAGTATTAGATGTACATGCACTGTACTGCTTCTTGAATTTGAGCGAAGATGAAGATTTTCATAATAAATTCAAATATAAACATGTCTTCATCAAAACTTCAAAGCTTGCTTTACGTTTATCTCCCTTGGACAGATATTAGTCACGATTTTGATCATTGAAAACAAAGAAACAAAGCCTTCCGAACAACTTGTTTCCAAATACATGACACTTAAAATTGCCTTTAAAATATGTCCTCTTTTTGGTTCCAAAAAAAGTAGCATAGGAGCAATAATTATTAATTAAATTGTTTGTATAAAATTTAAATTCTTTACAACTCCTCTCCTTCTTTTAAAATTTAAATAAGTTTATTTAGCGCCAAAATGTGATGGAATAACATTTTATGATTTTTAATATTTGTTAGTAACTGTNCCCCCCCCCAGGCATCTATTAACAGCTATTATCAAGTGGACTAAAGGAGAAGGAAGCTATTCTCCTGTTGTCATGTTTTTATCAATGTAATTACAGTGGTCTTCAATACTTAATCCGTCCAGTTCAAAATAAAATAGATAAATAATAATTTGCAAGATAAAAATCTTGATTAAATCTTATCAAGATTGAACAAAATCCTAAGCAAAAACCATCTCTTGATTAAAAATATTACTAAAACCATCTCTAGATTAAAAATATTACTAAAACCATCTCTAGAATCGAAATATTACGAAAACCATCTCTAGAATTGAAATATTACAAAAACCAACTCTAGATTGAAATATTACTAAAACCATATCTAGAATTGAAATATTACTACAACCATCTCTAGGATTGAAATATTACGAAAACCATCTCAAGAATTGAAATACAACCCATGATCCCAAAGGTGTGGGAGGGTGATTACATATATTATGGAACCCTGGCAGTAACAAAAACCTTGTATATATAATATATATACATAATTCTAGACATTAGACCCCGTATACTGTATACATCTCTCCGTATATACGTTAAAGAATAGTATAATAACAGAATAAGAACAAGATTGCAAAAATACAACAAAAAAACGAGAGAATTAAAAGAAAATGGCGATTTTTCTCATTATTGATGAAGATAAAAATATAGATAAAAATATAAAAAAACATTCTTGTATTATTATATAGATTATCTCCAAGTTTTAACACCAAAATAAACCCATACTACTAAAAAAGCAGCATTTTCCGTAAGAAATTTGTTTATCAGTCTTATTCAATTTTTCAAAAATGATTCATTCTTCTCACATTTTCTGTTAAGTTCCGAAAATCGTAATTTAGACCAATTAGATCTAATATGATGTGGGACACCCTGTATGTAAGGGTGTCTGTGCATGTATGTATATCTCTATATTTAAGGATGTCTGTGTGTATGTATATCTCTATATTTAAGGATGTCTGTGTGTATGTATATCTCTATATTTAAGGATGTCTGTGTGTATGTATATATCTATATTTAAGGATTTCTGTAATTACAAATGTATGTATAAAACGTTATGTCCATAGATTCGAGTATACTTTTGAACTTACCAGTATTCCGAGCTGAACTCTTCTCACTCTTTACATTCTTCTTTTCTCCTGAACTCGAACCTGTCGAACTTTTCTTAACAGAGCTCGAGATCGTCTTGGCGGAGCTCATTTCCACTTCGGCGGAGCTCAACACCTCCTGGGCGGAGCTAATGCTCATTGTGGTCGTCATTGACTTGCTTAGATTCGAGTTAGAACTTGCAAGCATCGAAGCTTCGGTTTCGAACTTCTGTATTACAGATGTGGCAGATATCGAGGTTTCCTCAACTCCTGATTCGATCACGCTAGCCGAGAGAGAGGCGGAGTTGGACAGAGTGGCGGAGCTTTTAAATACCCCATTCTCCAATACCTCGGCGGAACCTTAAATAAACAAATTAAAGAACATTTCACAATTTGTTTAAACATTTATACTTACAGTTAGAATTAGTGTTAGATAAATCCAGTTTTGTGGAACTGAGTTCTAATCCTTCCTCTCTACAAGCTTCAATCCGTTCTATTGTAGCTTTGTCGGGCTTAGGAGGAACAGGAGGGGGTTCCTTCTTTATACTTCCAGCATTTTCGTTCTTTTTAGAACCTACCGTGTTTTGATCCTTCTTTAACCCCCCTGTGTTTTGGTCCTTCTCAGATTTATTACCAGATCTGGCCTTAATCGGCTTGGTTTGTAGATCCTTAATTGGGGCTGAAGCTTTTTTCAGGCTGGCAGACCTTTTTAGGGAAACAGTGGGGACAACAGGGGTTGGCTTGGCTCGCATGGAAGATGTCCGTTTAACACTGGGTAGACCTGGATCCTTATCTCCGGGTTTCCGAACCCTACCGGAGCCAGGTTTAGGTTTAGTCTCCGACTCTGTTGACGAATCTCTAGGTCTACGTGGAGAAGGGGTTCTATCCAGTGGTTGTCGGGGTGTAGTGCTGCTTCTCTGTCCTTCCTTGTTCATCGGAGACGGACTCCGGGATTTATAATTTATCTTCTCTCCCATATGGGACAACCAGGCTCTGGTAGGAGCTAGAAATCCACCCTTCACGTTGACCTCGGTAGGTTTAGATGGAGCGCGTTCCGTAAAACTTGGATTTCGGGAAATCTTTTTTGCAGTTGGTTTCTCAGTTGAATTTTTCTTAGAGTTTCGAGCATTCTCTAGTGAGGACATGGAGGAGGTGGAGGAGGATGAGTGTTTTCTTGGATCTTCGTCCTCGACAGGATTCTCCGCAGTTTTAGGTTTAGGTGAAGCTGATTTTGTATCCATCCCTGGATTCCTGACTGGAGATGCAACACGTCCTTGTTCAGGAGAAACTTTCCTGGTTGGAGAAACTGTTCGTTTTGGCTCCTCACGCTTCTTCTCAGGTTTAGGAGCAGAACGTGCTCTAGGGTTGCTCCGGGTGGTTCCGTTAGTACGAGTTCCTGCATCTTTGATAAGACCTGGAGATTCAAGACTTCCGTTTCTTGTTTCGGTTCCTCCTCCCTGAGATTTAGCTCTTGGTGCTGAAACATCAGATGGTTTAACTTTTGAGATAAGTTTCGGAGCATTCAAAGTTGTTTTCGGGTCGGAATTTCCGAGGTTTAAGATTGTCTTGTTGTTTTCTTTATTTCCAGATGAAAGAACCTTCCGGGGTTTAGTTGGTTTATTCTTCTTGTTCTCCACCTTATCACCGTTGGAGTGTATACAGCAGGACTCAGTGTTTATATTTGAGAGTTCTAGTTCTCCTTTACTCTGCTGTAGTGCTAGATCTCTTATCTGATCCAGGCTCAGCTGTAAGTACTGCGGTTTCTCTGAACCCATGACTATGCTCTGTCCAACTTTTGAAGATTTTGTTCTCTCTTTCGTAGTGCCGGGACCAGTTTTTGCTCTCTTATCTCCTTCCCTTTTAGTCTGCTTCACCGCCTCCTTTTTGGATCCGACCCCTGGTTTGGCAGAATGGGTTGTTGGATGTGCTGGTTGGTTTTGTGTCTGCAGGGTTGATGGATTGGTTCGCTTCTCTTTTGTTAAATGAGAAGGATGGTTTGCAGATATGTTTAGCGGACCAGGGATCAGATCTATTATCCTCTCGTGGGATTGTTTCCGGGTTTCTGTCATCTCCTGGTGGCACCCTAATACCCCCTTCAGTTCCTGATGGGACCCTGATACCTCCTTGAGGTTGAGTTCTGCAAACTCAGGAAGTTGTGCTCCGCGTCGTGCATCCAGAATTACTTGATCTTCTACACGGCGCAGTTCGTTCTTTACCTACGAGAATGCAACAAATCATATTTAAATTAAATGAGTATATACCCACACATAATTCTTCTTATAAACAGTGAGACCCATGAAACGTTGGAATATGGAGACGAATTTAATGATTTTAAATAGTCCACCATGAATGTAAAACAATAAACATTGTTAAATTCAGACTTAATACATTGATTTTCAAGCCACTGGTAAAACCATTAACTTTAATCAAGTGCACTTACAATTGATTCAATTTCGTTCTCCTCTTCCACAGTACTCTGGGCCCCACTGCACGTTAATAGTTTGTTACTAGGGGATTGAAATATAAAATATCGTTTTATCAGCTAGTGAAAAGGCAATTGATGATGATGATTTAACTTTTAAATGGTACCGTTCGCATTTTTGAAGGAATTTTTCTAATTAAAATATATTCGTCGTTTGCACTGTCTAGGTTTTCTTTGTTAAATGGACTGTCGGAGTAATGTCAGATGATCCTTCAGCGAATAAAAAGAAGAAAAAAGGCATGCCCGATTTGCAACGGTACCCCTGAATGTGAAAATAACGTCTTTTATTGCTTGAAAAGGTCTTCTTTCTGATGATTTCTCAATTATTTACGAAGCAAGTTACTTTTGCAGAGAAGCCACAAATGAAAATACATTTCATTTGAATAACAGAAACATGGACCAGGATATCTAGTTTATTCTTTATGAGACAGGGTACTCTCGTGAATCGGACTAATGGAGGTTCACTAGAAATTAAGTTTACAGTACATTTTAATAAATACAAATAAATACAAGCAAAAAACAGGGATTGCATATTCTTATCTATAATGAAAAGAATCAAGCTAAAAGCGATACCATTGAATCAAAAATATATTCATGAATAATAAATCATTGGTTTAATCAGTAGTATTTTATCTTTTCAATGAAACCTAAATGAGCATTAATAATCTCCCCCTCCCTCCCTCCCCCGGATAGATCAACAAAATAAATATATTTTTTACGTCATTCTTGAGTCTAATCATGCCTTCATTCAGCCATGCTTACAATCTGCTGCATCCTTATTATTATGCAAATGAGAAAATAATGAGAGGAAAAAAGAAGAATTATTTCTAAAAACCTCGGAATAGAATAAAAGGATCTTGCGTGCGCCCCCCTCCGGCCTCCCTCCTTCTTCTTCCCCCCCCCCCCGTTCATCAACTCATCTCCCCGCTGTACTTCTCATTTTAAAACATACTTTTTCGTGGATTTTGTAATTTGGAAATTAGCAAAATTTGCAACAATTTTTTAAAATTGAGCTTTGATTTTCAAGATGTATTTACTATTCATGCATTTTGGTTCACTTAGAATTTAGAAATAAATCATAACAGAACAATGGGTGAAAAATATGTAAAATTAAAAGTAAAGATACTGAACGCTTGTTTTAAATTGTGATTTCCTATCCCTATATCTTTGAAATCTGATGCTGACACCCATTGGTATTTAAAACGTCTGAACTAGTTGATCTAGCAGAGTTTAAAGTTTAAATAAGAAAAGGTCTACGTCATTAGGTTGCAAAGATTTAATAATTAGACCAACTACATGATGAGGCTTGTTTTTAGAGGATCTAGAATTTAACAGATTTTAGATGAATTACTCCACCTACCTTCTGAAATTCATAAACCTTGTGCTGAGCCTGTGTCCCTGTATTACCGAGTACCCTGAGAACCAAAACTATTTTACAAGATGTCCATTGTAAACATACAAGGGCGTCTTGATAACTTAAATCTTCGGAAAAAAAACGTAATGGACCAAATAAACATATTCGAATTATTTTCAGCTGGAGATAAAATATTGTCTTTCAAACATAAAATTGAAAAAAATTCGTGAGCTGCTTATTACAGTTTGAAGCAATGTGTCAAAAGAATTTATTATTTCAATTTCAAAATTCGATTAGAATCCTTTAACAATACCTGAGTTGTCTCATATAAATATTATATCTTAACTAACATTAACTTGATTAGAAAATTCTTCTTTGGTTCGGAAAATCTTCATTTATAAAACGATATTTTGCTTCAAGAATAAGTAAAAAAATGAATACAATGATCTTTAAAATGATATTCCATAATATTTTGATCACCGAATATAAAATATTGAAAAACTAGCGGTTTCCTGAGAATATCCGGGGTGTGAGATAGAGATGTTCGCTTGTGGATTAGGTAATCCCTACTTCCGGGTTCAGCAGTACTTAACCTAAACGGATAAAGGATTAGGTAATCCTTACTTCTGGGTTCAGCAGTACTTAACCTAAACAGATTATAGGATTAGGTAATCCCTAATTCTGGGTTCTGCAGTACTTAACCTAAACGGATTATAGGATTAGGTAATCCCTAATTCTGGGTTCAGCAGTACTTAACCTAAACGGATTATAGGATTAGGAAATCCCTAATTCTGGGTTCAGCAGTACTTAACCTAAACAGATTAAGGATTAGATAATCCCTATTGTCGGGTTAAGCAGTTCTCAGCCTAAACGGATTAAGGATTAGGTAATCCCTACTTCCGGGTTAAGTAGACCTTAACCTAACTGAATTTCATGAATTCCAAATAAGACCTATTTTTTGCATTTTTACAGTGCTTTGCATAAATGAATTTTCTTATCGCTATTTCATTGCAACCTGATGGTGTAAATCTTAGAAATTTTAAACTTAGACTATTTGATCTAACATTAATTGGGGGGTCCAAAATCAAAATTAAATAGCAATTTTAGAATTCTTCAGAAATTATTTTGTAACAAAAATAAAACATAATTTTATTTCTGTCTAGTCCTATACTCCTATAATACCTGGTAGGATTGGATAATAAATATATTCTTGAACTCAACTGTCAAATATTTAAGCGGTATCATTTATATTCACTAAAAACGAATATATTCTTAAACTGGGGAATGTACATATATGGAGAGTCGATGCATGAATTCAAAGAAAAATATCTGTGCCTTAAAAACCATCTTGTATAATGATTACTCATAAATATGAAACTTCAGTTAAAATCAAAGACAGACAATAAAAATGAGGATCAGAGAGGAACTGATTTCTTATTTGTAGTCTTTATATCTTTGACTTTTCACTTTTGATATTTAAAGCTATAAATTCTGCTAAATCAAATAGTCAACGTGTGTAATATCATGATATCAAAGGATTATACCATGAGGTTGCAATAAAATAGGGATTACAAAATCACAGTTTGTGACGAGTAATCAGAATTGCAAGACGTCATAACAGACGCATTAATTGTTGGTGAGCAGATCCCCCCTCGTACGCCCCTGATTACCAATACAATTTTGAATCCTAATAACGCCACCAATTTTGTTTAGCATTTCGAGATTTAAGATCAAACTTGGTTTGTTTTGAAAAAGTAAATTTTTCTACCTTAATTTTATACACTGAAAAATAAATAGATTATCAACAATAAAAGATAAAAGAATAAAGATTAAATAGACAAATCAGATAAAACATTTTTAATTGATCTTGACTTAATCTGGTCTAGTAGTCTATACAGTGCAATAAAGTGATTTTATTTTATCTAATTAGAATTCAAACCAAAGAAACCGAAAATACAATAAAGTTCATAACATTTTAAAATCAGGACCTTTTGCATCTTGTTTTGATTTTATCAAAATGACACAAAACTATAAAGTTTTTACCAATTTTAATCAAACTGAAAATCTAGCACCAACCTTTTAAATTTCTTAGTTAAAAAAAATATAGAGAATACTAAAGAAAGCAACTAGAGGAATAAAAACACATCTGGACTTGGTACAAGGTATATTCCATAATCACAGGGTGCAGGATTCAATGCACACGTTTAAATCACAAATCATAATGTCAAAAACATTCACCGGTATCACAAGCTTGCACCTGAAATAGTATGTATCCATTCTTTATCGGATATTCTCCCTAATCAACAGTCTACGCTGAGCCTAAACTGAGGATTGGTTCTCTTTATTAGACCTGCAGTGAGTGGGATTAAAACTGGATTTTAAAACCTTGCGTGTCACAAATTCTAAAATTTTCAGGGTGGTCAGAAAACTAAAAAACTATTCAGCACACATAAACTTATTTGTTGAATTATTGCAAAGAAGGAGGATAGGTGAAATGTCCAGTGTTGACTAAATAATTCTGATAGAAGAAAACACAATGTGCCTAGAATAAATCAGTTATTTGAGGACTAGGGCTGTGCAAAGTGTCTGTTTTATATTATTTCAGTTTGAGCTAACAACTGAAAGCTTGGATTAAGTCGTTAAATGAGACTGAACCAACAACAAAATAAATAGTTTAAATTTTGAGTAGGATTGCAGAGGTTTCGTTTTTTTCGTTTCCGGTTCAATTCGTTATTTTGAAAGGTCCATAATTTGTCGTAGACTAGCGAGGAGTAGTCTTGATGTTAGTAAAATGTAAATATACACTAGCGAGGAGTAGACTTGATGTTAGTAAAATGTAAATATACACTAGCGAGGAGTAATCTTGATGTTAGTAAAATGTAAATATACACTAGGGAGGAGTANAGGACAAGAGGTAGTCACCCAGGACAAGAGGTGGTCACCCAGGATAAGAGGTGGTCACCCAGGACAAGAGGTAGTCACCCAGGACAAGAGGTGGTCACCCAGGATAAGAGGTGGTCACCCAGGACAAGAGGTAGTCACCCAGGACAAGAGGTGGTCACCCAGGATAAGAGGTGGTCACCCAGGACAAGAGGTAGTCACCCAGGACAAGAGGTGGTCACCCAGGATAAGAGGTGGTCACCCAGGACAAGAGGTAGTCACCCAGGACAAGAGGTGGTCACCCAGGATAAGAGGTGGTCACCCGAGACAATAAAGTGGTCACCAGAACCATTTAAGTGTTTACCCAGGAGAATAAGGTTTTGAATTAAACTTTATTATCCCAGCTGAGACCAAATTCAATTACAATATAAATTCTACCTGGTGGCGTCTAGAGTTTTTTCCAGCTTCTCCAGGCTCTCATGCTGTTCATGATGTACCTGCTGTACATATTGTTCATGATGTTCATGGTGTTCATGGTGTACATGCTGTTCAGAAACAGCTGAATCTAGAAGAGCAGTAACCTCAGCAATCTCAGCAGTGCTGTACTCGACAAACTCAACTGATTTTCCAGAAGCTTTGACAGTATTCACTTCATGGACTTCATGGACATCTTCGATCTCACCAATCTCTTCGTGGATCTCTTGGACAAGAGTACTATCATGAAGTTCGTGGATTTCATGAACCTCTTGCATTGCATGAACTTCCTGTGCATCATGAGCTTCCAGGACTTGTTGTACGGCACAAATCTCTTGAACGTCGTGGATTTCATAAACTTCATCATCTTCATGAACATCTTGAACAACATGAACCAAGTGGGATTCCAGAGCAGAGTGGAACTCTGTGGATTCATGTAACTCTTGGACTACCTGAGAACTCGCCTGAAAAATCAAGTTGATTACATGTGTTTAAGCCCAATGCATCAAAGCACAAATCCAGAAAATAGAAGAGAAAAAGTCTCCTTCTATTGCTCCCAAGCCTAAATAAATCTTTTGTGGGAAAAAGTTTGAATGCATGAAAGTTAATGTAGCAAGACTAATTTTGATTTTAACCCAAAAATTGCAAATATTGGAATATAAAAATGGAAATTGCAAATATCTACTTATTTTTGCAACCTATTATTTTCTATAAATGCATGAAATGGCACATCAGTCCTCCAATTAGAATTTAGAGCGCGTGTAAGTGTAACATACACATCAAATATTA